AAAAAAAAAAAAAAAAAAAAAAAAAGAAGATGAGAAAAAATTATTTTGGGCAGCTAGTTACTGATCATGTAGATAGTGTCCTATCTAGTATCCTATCACTGTATACATGCACAGTCTTGTTTGAATTTAGGCCCCTGGAGTATCGCCAGCTTACATTCCTGACCCCAGTCCTGTGCTTTCTAACCTGCCTGAGAAAATGGCTACGCTGCAGACTTGATGCCTGGTCGTTAAAAACATGCAGTTGATAGGTAAAATGAATGGTGTTTCAAGCTATTAGTGAATATGCTTCTATTTAAGTCTCACGGTCCCACAGCTCTGTCTTCACCTTGATCTCTCTGACCTACAATCGCACAGCTCAGTCTTCCACTCCGCGAGAAAGACCAGTCGCCGCAGCAAGGCCACCTCTCTCTCCACCACAATTTACATTTATGTCCCTCACCTGCTTTTATTTATTAGCTATTTTGCATTTGGCACATCTCCTCTGGAACCATAGACTAGAATGCTAGTATTCAAATGAACCTTCGTCTCATTAATGCCGGCAATTTTCCTCAGAGACAACTTATAATGTTTCCTTTGGACCGAGTTCGAAATTCTATTGAAAAATAATCAGCCTTTCCCTACTATGTTACAAGTTTTAGCTCTAATGAGTTCTATCAAGCATTTCTGTGGGAAGCAATTGTTTCAGCAGTGTGCATCTGTTCAGTTGTGCTTGTGGAACGCAACCCTATCTTGTTTGGTTTTCTGTCAAGCGTGCTTGGTTTTGGCATGTCAATCAAGAACAAACATAGCTGTAATCTCAAGCTAGCACTCTTGTTTTTTCTACACACAAAAAGTTGTTTTGCTAATAATTACTCTTTAGAATTGAACGTCTGATTGGAAAAAGAAAAAAAAAACATCCCATAATCAAAGCCATCCAACATCCCGCTATCTGTCACAGTCTTCCTAATATGTACAAAGTTCCTTCAGTTGATTTAATTGTGCCATTTTCGTACAGTCATCTTCAGTGAAGACGTGAAATGCTGTTTTTGCTAATATGAGCACACAACCATAAAACCAACAACCTCCCACTTTTTAAGTTTCAGATTTTCATTTGCATATTGCATCTTGACACGCATGCATCTTTGAGCCCATGTTGAAGCTCAGCACACGCAGCTGTCACCATCCATTCTACATCTTTCTATCAGAAGAACAGTACAAATGGGAGCTGGAGCAGCGAGTGGTTTAAGAAAGGATGTTGTGAATTACCTGTCTGGTGTGGATTTGTCCAGGTGCCTTGAAGCCCCCTTGACAACTGCACTCTGAAACGCTGTAGGGGTCGGAGCTGCTGGAGGAACATTTGGAGAGTGAGTCACAGCCCACCACGAATGTGTTGTCCAGTGGGAGTTCCTGAATGACATGATGCTTCTTGGGAGCCACAGGGGTCTCTGGTTTGATCTGGAATGTTGGCTGAGGGGAAGCGGATTTGTAGTGCTTGGCTAAGTCAGGACTGTCGGGTTTGAAGGTAGTCGGTGTGGTAGCCCAGTTGTACTTTCCCATTGTCTGCTCCTCAAGTTCAACAGGGAGGTCTAAGGTGCCATTGATGTGCTCATGAGTAGGGTCATCGTTCTTGGGTTCCTCAATGGTTACGAAATTCAGCAGCAAACTTTTTGGGGATCTCTTCTTCTTCTTCTTTTTCTTTTTAATCTGCCGACCCTCCTGGTTGGGTGATACCCACTCGCCGCTCTGCTTGCTCTTCTGGACAACTTTGTGTCTCGGTGTCTGTCGGCAGCGTACCAAAGCAGTCACAAAGATCACCAGGATAACCGTCATAGTCCCAGCTATTATGGCAATAACAACAATTACGTAGCCATTGGTCTGGGGTGTCACCTCGTTGTCCCCAATGTTCCGTTCCAAAGGAGTCTCCAAACTCTTGCGAAGTTGTTCCTGGATGAATGTGGCATTGGAGACTGTATCATTCACAAACAAATGAACAAGGGCGATTGCGTGTAAGGACTCAGGCTGTCCCAAGTCCTTGACCTTTACAACTAGCCTATGAAGTCCTTGGTCTGCTGCTACAATCTTCTCCTGCAGAGTAATGTTGCCTGTCGTTTTGTCAATGGCAAACAGTCCTCTCGGTGACCCTCCAATAATACTATACTGCAGCTCAGCGTTCATCCCAGTGTCATTGTCAATGGCAAACACTCTGGTCACCACTGAACCAGGGCTGGTGGTTGAAGGTACTAGATCATAGGAGTAGTTTGAGGAGGGGATGACAAACACCGGTCGATTGTCGTTCACATCAACAACATTTATGGTGACCTTGGCATAAGAGGTGGTTTGCATTTGACCTGCGTCCACAGCCTTGACAACAAACGTGTAGGAACTTTGTTGCTCCCTGTCAAAGGTAATGTTTGGTTTGATCACCCCGGTTTTGGGGTCAATGATGAAATTGTCCTTCCCATTTATGATCGAGAGAGTGACGACTGCATTGTCGCCAGCATCTGCATCCGTGACAGTGATCAAACCCACCGTCCCATACAAAGGCAGGTTCTCAGGCACATAGAAGTTGTACTCGGGATGGGTAAAAGCTGGACTGTTGTCATTTTGGTCTTGGACTATTAGCTTGACGGTGACGTTGCTTTGGAGAGGGGTAGAACCATTATCCCTGGCAATGACTGTGAATGAATACTTCTCCTGCTTCTCTCTATCCAGCCTTTTGACAACAGAAAGGATTCCAGAACGGGGATCTATGTTAAACCCATCAGGAGCATCTGGGCCAAGACTATAAATAATAAGGGCATTAGAACCACTATCTGCATCTGTTGCACTGATTTTTATCAACTGTGTGCCCGGGTCATTGTTTTCTGGAATGGACAGCTGGATTTCAGGCTGAGGGAAAACTGGGACGTTGTCATTCTCATCCTTTATTTTAATCAGGACCATTGCCGAAGTGTTCAGAGGTGGTTTCCCAGAGTCAGATGCAACTATCCTAATTGCATACTCTCGAGTGGTCTCGTAATCTAAGGGTGCGGCGGTTTCGAGCAAAAACTGGTCATTGAAGACCGGCTTCAGTCGGAAAGGTACATCATGATCAGTGTAACAAGTAACTTTACCATTCAGATCCGCATCTTTGTCAGTCACAGTAATTAGGGCTATTTTTGTGTTAAGGGGGGCATTTTCAGACAACAGCACAGTGCCATTAACGAGATTCATTATATAACGGGTATCAATGGAGGGGACGTTGTCATTAATGTCTGTAACATTGACTGTCACTGTAGCCCTTGAAGGGATAGAGCTTCCGTCACTGGCCAGCACTATAAGCTTGTGCACCGGGTTTACTTCCCTGTCCAATGGCTGCTTGACTGTAATCAGTCCAGTTGTGCTGTCAATAGCAAAATGTCGTTTGGTGGCAGGGGAGATTTGGTTGCTGAAGGAGAAGTGAATCTGAGCATTGGATCCCAGATCAGCATCTGTGGCATGAAGGTGTGTAACAGATGTTCCCATTGGGGCATTCTCAGGAACGTTTACCTCCACCTCGCTGTCCTTGAACACCGGCCGATTGTCATTCACATCTGAGACGGTGACCTGCAGAATGGCTGTGCTGGACTTTGGAGGGGTGCCACCATCCTCGACTTTAATTTTCATCACAAAGGTGTCCTTCGTCTCCCGATCGAGGCTCTGCTGGACTATGAGTTGGGGCCATTTGTCTCCTTCAGGCGTCTCGATTATGTCCAGGCCAAATTCGCTCACACTCTGGAAAATAAAAAAATAGCAGTCTTGTAAATGGTTTGCAGTATATTTGACCAAGAACAGTACATCTTTAAAGTGTTTAACAAAATGCCAGTTAGAGGACACCTCCACTTGATGTTTATACTTGAACTAAAAATCCCATGCATGGTGCATTTTTCTTGTTGTTTCAGTTGTTACTAATATTGTTGTTGTTGTTATTATTGTGCCAATTACTAGAACTTCTTACTTTTAATGTATGTGGGAATGTGTGTTATGATAATCTCTCAGACAGAACTCACAGAAGTTAAAAAAAACATACAAATACTAATGTGTTTGAGCCAGTCTTTTATTCTGGCTTTCAACAGATGTTGGCTTTAGCTCCAGCATTAAACCTTGGGGTTAAAGTTATTTAATCCTATGAGAAAATGCACAAGGTCTTCAAAATATTTACTTGAAAAGCCCGTCCGGGGGATATGATCCTATAAAGCAAACATTGAATCCCCACACAGTAAACAGTTCCATCGAGCACCTGAAAACTAAAATATGTGCCATAAACGATGCACTGAGCACAGTTTCTCCCCCCAAAGTAAATAAGACTAAGATGTGGTAAACAATCAAAAATAATTTGTTGGAGAGGAAATTACCTTGTGTCATTCCATATTTACTTGGGTAAGCATAAATCAATGCACATATTCCTGTCTGAAATATTACAGCAAGCCTTTTATTGACCCTCATGAAATATTTTTTTTTTCTTCCCTGACCTTTGCTGACTCCTTAATAAGCGTGCTTCGTTTACATTTTCTTAAAAATGTAAAAACCAGTTGCCTGTCTGACAGAAAATTGCAGATTTAACATTCAGAAACAACATTTTCTACCAACCAATACAAGTAACAAAGCCACACTGCATCTCATAGCAATATATGTTGTTGTTGTTATTATTGTGCCAATTACTAGAACTTCTTACTTTTAATGTATGTGGGAATGTGTGTTATGATAATCTCTCAGACAGAACTCACAGAAGTTAAAAAAAACATACAAATACTAATGTGTTTGAGCCAGTCTTTTATTCTGGCTTTCAACAGATGTTGGCTTTAGCTCCAGCATTAAACCTTGGGGTTAAAGTTATTTAATCCTATGAGAAAATGCACAAGGTCTTCAAAATATTTACTTGAAAAGCCCGTCCGGGGGATATGATCCTATAAAGCAAACATTGAATCCCCACACAGTAAACAGTTCCATCGAGCACCTGAAAACTAAAATATGTGCCATAAACGATGCACTGAGCACAGTTTCTCCCCCCAAAGTAAATAAGACTAAGATGTGGTAAACAATCAAAAATAATTTGTTGGAGAGGAAATTACCTTGTGTCATTCCATATTTACTTGGGTAAGCATAAATCAATGCACATATTCCTGTCTGAAATATTACAGCAAGCCTTTTATTGACCCTCATGAAATAATTTTTTTTTCTTCCCTGACCTTTGCTGACTCCTTAATAAGCGTGCTTCGTTTACATTTTCTTAAAAATGTAAAAACCATTTGCCTGTCTGACAGAAAATTGCAGATTTAACATTCAGAAACAACATTTTCTACCAACCAATACAAGTAACAAAGCCACACTGCATCTCATAGCAATATAATAATAAAACAGTGAGTTCTAGCCCTATCCTCTGGTGTATTCTGCTTTGCTGCACACAACTTATTGTTTTACCCAACTAGCAAGACTCGGATTTAGTGTATGGAAGACAGCTTGTGCAGTTTCTAGTTCATATGTGAAGAAAGAAGCTGAAAAGGAGTCAAAGAGATAAGCTTCCATTTTAAATATACTGCAAGACCACCACAGATTAAAGAAAAGGGAAGAACCTGAACATTTAAAAAAGCTTTTCTCCCAGTAAGGAGCTAAATCTAGGCAACAGCAAAGCCTGAGGAAAATGAAAACAAATGCATGTGTAATCCCCCTGAGAATCCAGCTTCGACTGTTTAAAATAATTGCCTTCCTACCGAAACTAGCCCTAATATTTATGATTACAGATCAGGCTACATGGTACGACAAAACATCACGCGTATTCTATATTTCCGCGGTTGGCGAGCGAGGGAGACAGGGGAACAGTGCCTGAATGAGAGTCAAGCACATTTGTGAAACAAAGAGGCTCTTTGAAGCTCTTTCAGTCAAAAAACATTTCATGCTAGAACAAGAAAAGGCAACTTCCTTAAGAGATAAGCTTCCTGCTTCACATAAAGCTGGGGAAGATTACTCTGTCTAGGCACATATTTCAAATGTGATTACGATACATATATGCATTTCCCATGCTATGGGTGATCTTGAATCATTTAGTCTGGTACTAACAAACCACTTTCTATGGGCACACTGCATGCAGCCACAAATTAACTACAATGGCAAATGAAAATTTATAATTTGGGTTGACAAAGTAAGCTTTTTACATGCTAAAACCATGTAGCATCCCCCTTTGGTGGATCTTGGCACAATTTTGTGACCATCTGTGGTCTACTGTCAGTACTACCAACACATGCAAATAACACACACATCAAAACAAATCCAAGTACATAATTAGCATTAAAACACAAAAGTTATAAAAGGAACAATTTGGATGCCTACATATATTAGCACATGGAGAACAGCTTTTTTCTTTATTATACAGTCAACACAATTCAACAAAAAATTGATTGCCGTGAAGATGTAGTTAATGTAAAAATCAGCACAAAAATCTGTTTCTTGTACTTTTGGTTATGACAAATGTGGGTTACAATTTGTCAGTTACAAATGCATGCACGGTGACCATAAGTGCTTTTTTTCACTAGTTATCTATGATTGTTTCAGATTTATACAGGGAGCTAAAACATGGATTAGTTAATGAGTCTGGTTTAAAAATGCCTAGCAATGAGGAGATCAATCATAATTATTCAAGCCAGGCCCATAGAAAATGAGGCTGGGGAATTCTGATTATCTTCAGAAAGACTCAGGTAGAGTAAAAAGAACATGAATCACAGGCCCAAGGGAAGTGACAAATGTCTGAAATTAATACAGGTAGTGCATAAGAATCTACATATTCATACCAACTGACCCATAGAGCATTATGAGAGACACATGGGATGAATCTCTTTTGTTCAAGTTAAGACTGACAGGGGATGATACTGGGTGTAAGACAAAGCCAAAAAAACTTGCTTTAACTGAACCCAATTGTCTGGTGCAATCAAGAAATATATGCAAAAGCGAATGTCGGTTATAAATAACCCAAAGACAGCTGTATCTTAATAGTAGAATATTAAGTATCAGTGGGCTTCATTTTGCATAGTTCAACTCCAGAGTTTTTCTCAGCTTTGCAGACTGGCTGAAGTATCTGCTGTATGAATCAATGAGATGACCTTCTACAGCAATGACTCAGAATGAACTCAGTATCAACAACCGAGAAACTGAATATTTTAGACCCTTGCGCCATTGTGTTGGAACACTGTATGAAGTGTTAAATACATATAATACAACATATAAAGCCATAAATATTTCACTTACACTAAATTGTCCGTAAATGTTGTCATCTGAAAATGTTTTTTTTTTGTTTGTTTTTTATTCACTACCAACTATAATCAGATCTAAGCCATTTCCCTGTGACGGAAACACAAGCGTGGTCTCCTTGGTGAAACTTTGGCTGAACAATCTGCCAGAAATTAGGCACAAATGAAACCTGGAACCAACTGACAGGTAATAATGTGATTAGAATCTCCTACCATTTCCCCAGCATCCACTATTGTCCAGAACAGTAGCAGAAATCAGTTTCACCTTATCCACTCATCCTTAAACTGAATGCACTTTTACTCCGACTGATCCTCAAGGGAGTGAAATTCCAAAACGTTAATGAGCATTTATAATCTCATAAGCTAATTGTTCTAATTAATATTATTTACTTTATATACTGCAAGTGTTTCCTGGGAAACAAACCTTTTGTGAGAAGTGTCAGAACCCTTCAGCTCAACTTCAGGCACAACAATTACTTTGTTTTAAGACGATGATATCTTTCTCGAGAATCATTCGCAAGCCTTTGTGGTGCAATATTCATGGAAACGCTTTATGACATGTTACTTGTCAGCCCTTGATCATTAATGCATCATTCGACTGGCTCTTCTCATTGTCTTGAAGTGAAATAACTGGAGAAGTGAGAAGTGAGAGCTTAAAAAATAAAATAAAATCACACTTTGGATAAATTATTTAAGCCGAGCTAGTTTCTCTTCCAAGCTAGTTTCAAATCGGAATCAGACACAGATGAAAACCAAAATACTCATGAATTATTGAAATTAAATGGTAACAACTTTAATGCTGACCTTGACTCCCCCAAATAAGCAATCCAACGGAGACTTTGCTGCAATGAAAGTCCTTTCGAAAGATCTAAAATGTGGCGCAGAACTAAAACGACAATGCCGGCGGTCCCGGGTGATTAAAAACACACAAACGGCTTCAAAACAAGAGAAATGGCTTTCTTAATGTGAGGTTAGAGTGCTTAAACGGCAGGGTAAAAATAACAATGAGTTGGGTGGAACCCACAACAGAAAAGTCAATATCCTCATCCCATGAGCCTGATCTGATCCACATGCCTCCAGATAGGACTTGTAAAGAGGTTCTCTTTAAGTGATAAAATCTCTTCTAATGGAAAGCATTCCTCCAGCCATGCATGGTATTACTTTCTGTAAGCTGACCTTGATAGTGTCCAGGGGTGCTTCTGTGCATCGTTCCAGGTGACATGGCAACACTAATGCTGATGGAACAATTAATATGGCACCGCAATTAAAACCGGGGTAGGCAATAACAGCCCTCTGTGTCATAAGCGAGGGCTTGCTCCTTAGGGGACATGACTGGAATGAGTAAAGAGCAGAAGAGGGATTGCTATCAGAGCTCTTTCAAAGCTATGCGCGCAGCAGCTGTGGCCCACAATGCTAATCGTGCAGCTCCATGCTGACGGTGAGCTGGTCTAAACCATTACCATGTGGGAGCTTCAGAGATTCGAACTCTCACAGGACCATGCAAACGCAGTCCAAGAGGTGGATTCACGGCCAGATGCTGCTCGTGGGATGCTTTCAACAACCTCAGAGGATGAAACATATCCTCCCTTTCCATTTCTGTTTACTTCGATCTAGCCTCACCAAACTCGCATGCATGATTCATATAAAGAGACACTACACTTGCAGACGAAGAGCAAATTAAATCATCTGAAAGGCAACAGAGCCTTTACATATTTATTGTAATTGTATGAGGAAACGCACTGGTCATTTTCCAAGCACAGGCAATCGAGAGAGCCGCAGCAGCTTGGCAGAGAGAGAGAGAGAGAGAGAGAGAGAGAGAGAGAGAGAGAGCAAGAGACTCTTTAAAAATGCAAATTGGTAACTTAATCAGACATGAAAAGCAAGGATTTGGCTAATTCTCAAAAGAAAAGGTACAAATTACTCTTTCACACTTTAATGACAGTCTTGGGCTCTTTGTTTCACACTGTATTTGAATTTCACACTGTATTTGAATTTTAATTAAAATACAGGACGACCTTTCTGGGGAATACTAGTTCATTCATTGAACTACGCTACGTCGTAATCTTCCGTGCTGTGACTGACAGCCCAGATGCATGCGAGTGTGCATAGTGACTTTTTACCACTTCTGGGGTTAATGGGCCTTCTGACACTGTATAAAATGCTAAATTAAATACACATGCAACGTATCTGCTACTGTATATATTTTAATAGCATGCATACCATTATCCTACTTTTCAGTTTGAGCGGACTATATTAAGCCGCTGAGAATATTACGCTAGTTTCTCAGAAGACATCAATTAGAAGAAAGAACCGTTCTCCCCATTGTTCATATCTATCTCGGTGCAATTAACAACTTACCTTACACAAAACAGAGGAAATTAATTTTAAAACCTTGAGCCAAAAACATTTTTTTTTTATTGCTTACTGTGCTATTTTTATTCTGGACATTAAGGGCCCATTAAATGGCGGTGTCACATAATAAATCACAGCTGAATGTTGAACTCACCTTGACAAGCTCGTAGTGTTGAATCCCATTGATCCCTATATCAGGGTCAAATGCGGAAGGGACAGGGTAGCGGCTGTTGATGGCTGTGTTTTCTGGAATGGAGATGTTGATAACCGTCGACTGAAAGAGCGGGGCGTTGTCATTGATGTCTTCGATGAGGAAGCGGATCTTGACCAGTCGGAAAATCTCGTCGGGTAGCACGGCGACCTCGATCTCATAAAAGCAGCGCTTCTCGGTGAAGACTCCGGAACAGAGTTTCTCACGGTCGATGCGGTTGGCTGTGGTGAAAATCTCTCCCGTGCTTGCTTCTACCTTGACCAAAGGCACATCACCCGTCTTGTAGACAGGTTTAAACTGCAGCGCAGAAGACAGTTTAATGTCTGGATCTAGGTTCAAGTTTAGGTCTTTGCGCAGGTTTCCGATGCGCACATTCTCCGGCTGCTCCTCTTTTACGGTGTAGTCCTTCTCTTGAGCCCGGCACATCAAGAACAGGCAGGTGAGTAAAACCACCAGAACATGGGCCTCACTTGCCAAGTCCATACTCAGAATAGGTGCTGCACTCTCTTCAAAGATCTGCAAGGTCTGCTAGAGGAAGATAAGTGGGAAAAAAGAAAGATGGTCATATTCACAACTACTGTATGAAACACAGTTCTGATACAAATAGCTTTTTGATCCTTTTAAACAAACTCTTTGGGGGAGCATTTTAGATTATTTTATAGATTAAAGAGATTAGTTAGCCCAATATAACAATTCTGTTCACTCTCAAACCTGTATGACTTTCTTCTGTGCAAAAGAAAGAGAACACACACAAAAGGGAAAATCTGAAGAAAAAAAAGTGCTGGTTGCTCTTCTTCCATGCAATTACAATAATGGAGACTGAGGTTTTAAGTCTATCGATGTGCATGGGAGTAGCAATGTGAACAAATTATCTTGAGATTCATCTTTTCAAATGAATCACAAAACTGAGCCACTGGACTGGTTCGGTGCTCAAGTTCTCACTGTGAGTCAACTCACCGAATCAGACTACTAGACTACTACCAGACGTAGTAGTGAACAATTCCCAAGTGGGGAGTATAGTGCATATGGACTACTTTTTCCCCCTCAAATTGCAAAGAAATCCTTTAGTATCTTTGTCTTTCAAGTAAAAATATATAAACATCTCAAAACAAGACAGAAAAAGACAAAAGATCCTTGTTTTCATTGAAATCTCAAACTAGTGAGGTTTTTGTGAAAATGAGAGGGGAAAACACTGTTTGCCAATGGGGTAAAAAGAGATCTTTCTCTTCTTTTGTGTTCCAAAGAAGAAAGAAAGTCGTACAGGTTTGGAACAACATGAGGTTGAGTAAATGACACCGTTTACATTGCTGGGTGATCTACCACTTTAACCACTTTTTTTTCTTTTTTTTTTTTACACAAAAGGAAAAAGACACTGTTTTAACAAGAGGATTCATTGTTTAAATTGTCAAATGCTACCAAATACAACATACAACTGCATTAGAGAGGCTCTCCAGACTTCATACTGCACATAATGGACTCTTGTATGCCACTGGCAACACTCAACAGAGCTACAATGCATGATATCAGATTACAGTATGTTGATATTCTGAGCAGCCAAGATGTAACTGTAGTGCAAGTAAGAGTTTTATGATTTAAAGTTCAAGAATAAAGACATGAGTCCCAAATGACTGTCAATATCCCTCAGAAGAATAGGACAAAGCCATAATTCAAAAGCACCAAGACATGATTTATGAATCAGCATTTCAGTGTTTGTTGCCAACTTGCTCGATGGCCACACAAATCCTGTCAGGGCATTATATAAATAAAAGTAGCCAGAGGGCTGAGGCTTTCACAATGTGCCAACAACTCAACTAGGTCACAGAGAACTGGTGGGGGAGATGCCTAACACTTCCAGACTCTGGGTTTTGTTAGTTTACAGAATTGTCCGCGCAGTGCTATTGCTGTTTAAATGTAGTGCCCTTCACCTTAACCACATCAATAACTCCAAACTAAAAGAGTTTGACTTTCTTTTAAATCAAAGTGATTGTAATAATATACAACTAGATCATTAATAAAAGTTTTTTTAGGAGTAGGAGTATCCAATAAAGCTTCAGCAAATCAATTACTCAAATATAGCACGTTACTAGAGCGACAAAGAAAAATTACAGCTCACGGCATAATGTTTTTGAAATGGGATATCCTGGAAATACTGTTAACAATGACTCCCCATTCATCAAGTCATTAATGTGTAATTTGTATGTGCCAAAAGGATGTTTGTTTAAAAATAAAGCCGAACGCAGCAGAGATACATGATCGTGTACCTTGAAGATTCGCTTCACACATCAAAAATTCATCACAAAGGCTGATTCCTTTAAACACACAGAGAGCTGAAGGCCCCAATGTTTCAGCCGCTCAAGTCTCAGCTGTCACAAGATGTTCTGTTTTTCACAGTGAACACTCCGGCTGGACTGTAGGGACTCATTAAAGGTTTGTTGGGCAGACGAGCACCACTCAGAGTATTTACATGACAGTGATCAATGGCCAGCTTACTATCTGCACATATTCTCAGACTGCTACGTTGTTCTTTGAAGAAAGTAGTGAAAAATGATTTGGTTTGCTTTTGAAGATTGCACCATTTTTGAGTCGGCGAGAGCAAAGCAATTACTATTCACCTACTGTACTCTGATAAGCCCGAAAGAGTCCAAGGTTGTATCCGACAATGCATAATGAAGAGGACTTACTGGCTAAGGAGTTCATTGCAGAGTAGTGCATAAAAGATGAAAAGATCATCTACATCTAAATAACCGCAACTGACACTAGCCGTGATGCGCAATAAGTGCGCGGGTCTCTCGTTCTGCAAATTCCCTTGCATTTTTAGATCATCAGTTTACCGTCAACAATAACGAATCACACCGTCCTGGGGAGAGAGAGAACGCTGATGAACCTGTATAACCCAAAATAGCACCAAACAGTGTAGACAGTATAAGCTCCAGCTCTCAGTAAGTGATGTCTGGCATTTTGTATGGAGCTCTGCTACCCAGGGACGTGGTGCTGGGATTAGACAATTCCACACGGGAGCCCACATGTCACTCCTCCCCATATTTAGGACAGTTTATGTTGTTGCGAAAACTCGTGGAGCCATTTTCAGATTTACTCCTGGGAGCGATTCTTTCAAAACTATACTCTGGATGGATTCGCAAAGCTTTGAGTTTCAACTTTACCAATCTTTGGAAACTTGCAGCTTGAGAGTGAATAGAGAGAATTAGCTGGGAAAATTGCACTCATGGGTATCGGTGCGACTTCCTCCCTGCTTGCGCAGGGTTCCAGTGATCTATTCTGAGCGGCGGACCATGCATTCCAGGGAGTATGCAAAAGCCGTCCTTCCCTCCGGAGCCTAGAGTGAGCGGCACACAGACTTTGGAGCGCTTAACGTGACAACGTGATGGACAGGTCTGCCTGTTTTTTGATTTTGAGTTGAGCTGTCAAGGAAGAAAATAATTCTACGTCAACCGCAAGTTCACGCTGAATCTCTGTCTATATGAATCGGCAGGAAACAAATGCTGCAGAGGTGGAAAAATCGATATGGTTCAACCTACCAAATGGGCATCAGATTAAAACGATCCAATTTAATACGAACGGTAATTAAAGCAAAATGACATTTCGAATAATGATTAAAGCCGCTTATGGAAGTTAAACTGGGACAACTGCCTGAAGCGTGTCACTCAACTTGCTCTTATCAGAAGCATCGCTCTCTTTATCGGTTTAAAGAAACCCCGTGTGTGCACGATTATTTGACATTTCGATGTCTTGTTTGAGTTCGCCCTCCACCTTTTGCCATCAGCAGCTTGAGACCCATAACCCCCCTGCCAGCTGTTCGCCAGCCTACCTGCTGTCCTTCTTGTGTTGTCAGGATGTCAGGCTTTTCATCAACAGAAAACATGTTTTTTAATAATTTATTCAAGCTTTATGCATCAGGAAGGCATCCTTTTTAAACTAATGGTTGGTAATGAAAAACATCTGGTATTGTTATTAAACATGAATATTACTTTTATTGTTGTGTTGTTGTTCTGCAACATCACTGTCATATTTTCATGTCACTTAATTAATTGCTCACATGTACCTGAACAGGCTACATTGATGTGTCATATAAAGTTAGGATCCTTTTGAAACACACAGACTGGCTTTGAGTAGCTTTGATGGCGACTACACTGATCCTAAGAACCAATGATCAATTGAATGATCAATAGGGAGGTATTAACATACCAAACAGGCTGCCAGTCGCAACGGATAAACTGATGTAGCAAACGTGATGGAGTCGATTTAGGTCCGTCAGCAAAGATTATGCATCCAAACAGTCATGTCTGCCATTTATCAATTTATCAAAGTTTCCATGCGGTCAGATGACAAAATAACTTATGGCTAACTTCAGCCAAGAAGGAACCGAGTGTGATTTTGTTTGCGTAAAATGGTGCGCCATGAATCATGGTTGAGATTTTTGCTAATTTGAATCATAAATAATCATAGTAAAACTTGATTTAATTCTTTAGACCAACATCAGGCAATTTATTGTGGGCACTTTCAGTGGAACGACATGTCAGTTGTTGATATATCATTCTCCCAAATTGATTTTATATGGACAAACATTGCAAAGTGTATAACATGCCAATGAAACTCTAAATCTTAAAGGCTGGTATTTGGCCTGTGATGCACCATTCATCTTCACTCTCCCCCTCTGAATTTTCCCTTTAATAAATAAATAAATTAATTAAATCTATAAGTTATGAATGACAGGAATTAGAAGCACAAGGGGATTTCACAAATGAAGGATAACATTTATTACAGGCTTTAAGATGACAGACATGTATGCTTGCATCACTCCTTTTCCACTACACATTTTATGATGTAGCATATTTAGAGTACTTATAAAAACTAAGTGTCAATATATATTTTTTTCAAAGCACATAGTTAAGAAAAAAAATCATTTAAACAAATGTAATTAATCTCACCTTGCTCTAAAACACAAACATAGACTGTAAATTGTTGAAATGTAAAAAGGAGAGAGAAATTATGTTAATAAGCTGTATATTGAAGGTGGTAAAGCATGGTTTTTCTCTCACTGTAATGCAAGGCAAGATAAATAAATAAATAAAACCACCAATAGAGGGCACTGGAGTGGTCACAGTGTGGTCAAATTATAACAATTAATATAGTATAAATAACCATTTATATTAATGGTTACATAGTTGGAAGGCAAACTCTTATTCTAATTATCAGATAATGCAAGATCAATTTGTATAATATATTAGCACACTGTATCAAGTGTAACCACCTTGACCAGCACCGCAGTGCAGATTCAGTATTCGGCAATGACAGAAATAATTGTTGATGCACGTTATTTTTTTTTTTTTCTTTTTCTGCCAACTTACAGAAGGGCAACTGTACAATTGATATACTATTGATATCATCAGTCTTAGCTAGGTAAGTTCTTTGCTCAAATTGTTCTTACTTATCATTGATGATATACTAGTAGCTTATAAAGCAATACAGAACGTTTATTAAAACATCTGACTTCATAATACATTTTTGAAGCCTTGACTATTTTATGTTACTGGATTACAGGCAACTATATACAGTAACAAATGTTTTGTGACATGTTCTGTATATTGCTTTCACGTTCGATGACATCATTCTTTTAGTGGCCGATCAAGACTGAAAAAATAATTTTAATAATAATATAAATTTGTAAAATAATTCCTAACTCGCACCCTTTGATGTGCCATAACTTCTATCTACAAAGATAATATTTTGTTTTAGATATAATTTACTGCATATAACAACACACCATTCAATATATTTAGAACTACAGAATGAATGGAAAAATTGAAATGATAGGCTATAGAGGGAATTAATGAATTTAAAAAAAAAATAGTGGTACTATCTGGGTAAAGGTGGGATTTTTTTGTTTCTTGTATACTGTTAAAAATTGCATAAAGTTCTTTCAGCATCGACTCTAGGGGCTCAGTGCTTTCCACACTCCATGAAAAAATGTGAAAACTGGTAAAAATTACTATAAACAATGGGTAATAAAGAGAGAGGCCTGTTGAATTTCTCCATATCTGAGTGTTGCTCAACCACCAGATATGCACTCTAAAAATGAAAACCAGTTGCATCATTTCACCTTAAAGTACGAAACAATGTTGTACTCTTGTCCCTATGAAAATCCAAATTAGAAATTAATCCGATTTGACACTCATACCTGTCATCAAAGGTCAACTGATGCATAACAGAATGTGAACAAAAGCAAGCAGAATGGATTACATCTACAATGCGCTCCCCCAGTGCACGTGTATGCTACATTTGGACACTTCCCTTAAAATTACCATGGTAACTAGAGTAGTTTGCACCAAAATACCCATGTTACTACAGTTATTACCAAGGTAAATCTAATTTATGAATATGGGATCCTTGCACACAGTGTAAGGCTTTAATAATATGTGTTATTTTATTATTTTGTTGTTGTAGCTATTACAGTTTAATAATATTAAGCTACAACTCATTTTCAGAAGTAACAATAAATGTAGTATCTACACTCTTAATAATAAAGCTTCCAGTTAGAACCGTAAGGTTTAGCATGATCTAATTGGTGAACATTTTAAACTACACAAATAAGCTACATTTTATTAGCCTATTATTAGCTTTTTTTTTTTCTAATTGTTGAGAAAACTATTTATATACTTCTTTAAAGGTTCACAAAACCATACACTGATATGAAGAACCTATAATTTAACATCAATAACTTTTAAATCGCCAATGAAAATCTTGCATTCATCAAAAACTCCTATACAGCCCAAAACGGTTCTTGATAAATCATTTAAGAATCTTTTTTTTTTTTTTTTCCTCAAGAGGGTATGGTATTCAAGCGGAAAGTGTGGCTACCATGACATTTTTGTAAAGGACCGGATTTGTGTTTAAAACAAAGTATTTCTGTTCTGCCTCGGCAGGGGAAAATGACGCATCCTCCTGGATCAGCTTCCGACTTAATCTGCTGATGCTCTTCTGCCTCGCGAGCTGCATACAGCCGTGCATTTTTGAGTAGCCTAAGTTATGCGATGTGGCCATTTCCTTAAAAAGCAAACTATGGAATATATTAATATTTTACTCATAGGTTATGAATAGTTACTAAACAAAGCCTCCTAAAGCCAGAAGATTGAGGAGAACGCTTCAGAAGTTGTTGGATGGCATTTTAGAGCAGTCGCTATGCTGTTATTCACGTGTTGGCTGTAGATGTTCTCTCAGTATGAAACGTTTTAACACGACTTTACCTTTGCGTTAAATCGGACGCGTTGCTATTGCCATTATAATAAAGCTAAATCAGCACACTAACTAACAAACTACCGCATCTTCAGTCGGAAAGTGAAGCCGTAGCCTATGATAGCTTTCGGGAATTCTGCAGTTCGTGTCATTATTATTATTTTGTAAATATTACAATTAATTTATTTTCCTCAGGCAAACTGTTCTATTCACAGGGGAAAATAACACCGACTTTTGTGCACAAAGGCCCTTCGACTTTTTTCCTCCCTCGAACAGTGCAAGCGCATGTAAGTGCATATTTAATCTAATTCGCGGTGTTTTTTAAAGACGTTTAAAGTAAGTACGACCGATCGTTTCAATGAACTAGGGAGCGCGGTACAATTCAACAAAATCTTCTTCGCAAACATAGCATAAAATAGAAAAATAAATGAATACAAATAACCCATAAATGAGCATAAAAAGGACGCGTCTTACCTCGGATTTCTCTGTGAATATGGAAACTCTCAATTCCCGTCACGTAGCGGCATCACTGAGGAGATGAAGTGCCGTGAAGCAGACTGAAGAAAATCCCAGAATCAAACAGCTTCACGTAGTGACCAGTCGGTATCCAACTAGAGAAAACGATCCATGTCCATGAAAAAGTCCACGGTCCACGCACGAACGGCAAAAAACATCTGCGAATGACTTTTGAGAAGAGACGATGTAATTCCTCAGATGTCTCGCGCCTGGCTACTGCTTGAATCCCACGCGCGCGGAGAGATAGTGCTGCTCCAAATGGGTTTGTCAATGTGCAGTACTTCTTATTTCAGTACATTCATACAGTCATCACCGGGAGCAAAAAAAAAAAAAAAAAACCTGGGAAAGCTCCTCGCATGTACGAAAACTGTTTAGTGAGGTTGTTTTCTTTTTCTCTGTGCGTTTAATTAACAGCTAAAAAACTTGTAAATCGTATCCTCGGACACGCCATTTAATGTCATCCCGTGGTTTGGCAGAGTGATGGAGAGCAAAATATCTATTTTGAGAAATACTGATGGACTGTCAGTGTAACGGAGCAGGTGGACAGTGTGCCTATAGGTGCAGCATCACTTCCACACACTGAGATTTTTTTGCCGTAGTTGTACGCAGAGCTCTAGCAATCTCTGTTGTATTGTATGAACTCAGTTCCTTAGTACTGCCCACCTCTCCACCTCCGACTGACATCATCGCGGGAGGAGGAGCCAGCGATAAATTCCACAGCCGTCATCATCTTAAAGCCGCACTGCTGCTGGAGTCAGAGCCCCGCTCGCTCGCGCTCACCGCGGACTAATAGCCTACCTCACACCAACGCCGCGACTCGCCTGAGAGGAAAAGGGGGCACTGTTCGCTTTGCTTATAAACACCAGCTTGTGCGCAACGTCAAACTACTTCATTACACTTTACTAATGTGCAGACAGATAAGATAGATGTAAATATCTAGTTTATCCTTGCCTAATTCCTGTAGGCCATTGTATTAATGTTGGATAAATACGTTAACAAGGACAAAAAATGTGAATATCTATGGTGAGATATATGTTGGTCTATTCCTGATATTTAATTAATAGATTCTTAATTTTTGAGTGTTCTATGTCTTTTTCGTAAATGAAGTCTGTTGGTTATTGTGTTTGTACAGTTGCATTGTGTATATGGTTGATTGGTGATGAACGATATTCATCATTCATGGCTGTTGTGATTTTAGAGACTAATTATAGCTATTCAGTGAATTGAATTAAACTTGTAAACTTGTTAATTGATTGTGATAATGATAATAAAGTATCAATTGTATAAATAGTGCGTGGAGATGTTAAATTACTTCACACACTGATGCTGAATTCTGAGAGCAAATCACTATTAAATGTGGTGATGGCATAAAAATTATTTTAAAAGTACTTTGATCACCACAATAAATTCATGCACAAAATTTAAAGCTGCAGTCCGTAACTTTTTTTGGTTAAAAATGATCTGAAATCAATATTTGAACAAGTACATAACCAGCCAGTGTTCAAAACTATCGCCTTACTTTAGCCCGATTCACAACGGCTAGTTTATAATAATGTTTTCTAATTTGAGTGGTACGAGTAGGTTTTCGGGGAAAATTCGAGCATGCTGCCGCGTCATTACATCTCGTCTGTAAACATGAAGTTGTCCCGGCTACTATAGGCTATATCGCATGTGAGGATCCTGCAGGTGGCGGATCGTTTATAGCCTTTTCTCACAGCAGCTAGAATAATTAAATGTATAATTTTGATGGCGGATTGTAATCCAGAAAGGATTATGTGTTTATGAAACACATGTGAATGAAATGAAATTATATTGCCGTTTTAAATGTGCTTCTCATTACAGATAGCCTGCGATTACACAAGATTTGTATTTTAAAGACAACCAGTTTGAATGGAGCATAATTTGCTTTTTGGGTAAAAATTATTTCTTAATATGAAATTCTAATAGTATGACAGTTAGAGATTAGACTGTACATAAATTGAAATCTACACACTAATACACACTATATTCATAGTCACGCAATGCTGATGTTGTTAACATTAATAATTTGAAAATAAAGTATAACAATAATAATAATTTGCACGGTTTGATGTGATATGAGCTAATCGATCGTTAGATTAAATCACCATATAGCGCGATTTATTGTAATGCTTTTTTCCCTCAGTTGGTCAGAACAAACATGGCAGACTTGTTACTT